AGGGTGCTGTCTATAGACTATATGTGTACTGACTCTTGCTACTACCCTTCCTTACTTCATCATTCTATTCCTTTGACCACCCCTTCATTCTTTGTATCATTCTATAGTCTCTTACCCTTTGTCCATCCCTTCATTCTTTGTACCTTTATCTTTGACATTCCTTTCTTTCATTCTTTGTAGCTTATTATTCTTAAGTGGCTCATACTCCCTGAGTACTCTTGTGTAGTTTAGTATATATAGGTGGACAAGATCAGACTGGTCCTGTAGTCTTGATCTTGTCTACTCTAGGTAGTCCTGTACTCTTAGGCTCACTCTATATACTCTACTCTTGTCTCACTCTCTCTCTCTGCCTGTTCTACAAGTTCCAACTATGTTCTAGTGCTTGTGTTCTGTATTTCTGTTGTGTAGGATAGTTGTAGCCTAGGTCCCCTTGCTGAGCCTTCAGGTCCCCTCTATACTGTTGCTGACAAGTGTAGGTACTAGTAAACAAGAGGACTGAGTGTAAACATAATTCAGTTAGAGACCAGTTCTTTTTAGGGTCTCTAGCTTGTTTTTATCAAAACCTAATATAAATGTATATAGTTCTTATCTGTTCTCTTTAGTAAAATAGACAACCTAGACAGGAAAATGAAACCTATAAACAACTCAGCTGAGTCTAGATTTCTTCTTTATTTACTAGTACTATAATACTTAATATTAATATTATATTATATATTAATGATTGAAAATCTTTCTTCTTTATAACTGACAATACTGAAAGGATGTAATTAATATTTATTTTCTCTACTTTGTCCTCCTACCTCCCTCTCTCTGTCAAGGTCTAATACTTGTATGTTTTAATTAGGTACTTTGTATGACTAACAAGTTAGAGTATGAGTACTAGAGAACAAGAGGCCATATGTACTATACAGTAGTACCAACTAAGCATCAGAAAATCAGAGAGATTCAATACTGAAGTAATACTACTCTTGATACTCTTATTAACTTATTAAACATTATGTGTAACTGCTAGGACAAGAATCTCCATGTGGAATCAATGTCAGAGGTGGGCATGAACCAACAAGATCTTCTATAATGGCTGTAATAATTGCAAGTATAAATAGTTACTGTAATATATTTAGATGATAGATACAAATTTTAATTAGTAATTTTTATAGCAGGATTTCGATATGAGTAATAGGTAAGGCTCTTTCTTTGCCTCTGGATTACAGAGATATATTGAAAAAGGAGATACTACAAATGCTAAGGTTGAGTAGCTATATGAGAATAAAATCTAGTAGACTATGCAGGCATCATACAATAATGCAACCTCTCCCACAATACTATTTATCATATTGTATAACGTTACAGTGGTTAATTCATATTTATTGGCGGTGTTCCGTTAATGCCAGGGATGGAAGATTCGTGGTCGGTAGTTTGATAGTGCGTCCTCTGAACACAAGCCATTGCGGTTGCATCTCTGTATTACAAATTAGCTAAAGCTTCTTAATATGCCCGAAGGGGTTGAGGAGACATCCAAACCTAATAGCAGCGAGTAGATTCTTCTGTACCACATGGACGATGAGGGCCAGAGCCCTGGCATTTGCGTTTTATCCGGCATTTGCCTTGTGAGAAGACGGCTTAACTTGCAGACAGCGGAGCATGCACACATAGTTAAGGTTAGGATCGCCTCTGCAGAAGCTGCAGATCTCGTAAATTGACAAGTTTAGGCACTCTCTGATGCCCGTGCAATTCAGTCAAGGAGCTACTTTTCATATGACGTGGGAGAGTCGAGATACGGAACTTAAATATTGCACATCGACGTTCAAGAATTGAAATAAGGTCCCACAAATGTGTACTTCGAGAATCGCTTTGCACTAGAGAAGTAAGAAGTAAGCGGGAGAATAGTGGGAAGCAGTTAATAGACAATCAACGGATACTTCATTCGGAGGGTTTAGTGCCTTAAGGTTGGGATTAAGGGAACCATTGTGAAATGTGTGGTGCGGCGTTCAAGGTGTCGCCGCCGCCACTGTACGTGTTCCAGTTCAGAAACTCATTATCGAAATTTGTCACGGTCCTGTTGGCTAAGAGGCACACTCATGTGGTTAGCAAACGAAGAGCCAGGTCAACGACGGACCTGTAGTCCGGCCAATGAGCCGATAAGATTGTTGTCCGAATAAGCTCCCATGGATGGGCCCGTGTTCGCGATCTCTCAACCTAAGGATGTTTAAGGCAAGACTGTGGAAAAAAGTGAATCCGGGTTCCGACAAGTTCTGGAGCTGGAAAAGAATAGACTCTAAGTAAAAAGTCTCTTTTTGAATAATTTCGGGTGAACAAAGTATCCGATTGCGCTTAAACTGGCAAGGTTAATGGTCCTATCCGTAGGCAGTAATTTCCTGAATGTCGCTCTCGATTATTCTTGGAACATGTGGCGAGATCATCACCAAACTCAGGGTAAGTCATACTAGACAATCTGAGTGCGCATCGACATCAAAAATCAGTGAGATAATGCGCTCGGAGAGTGGTGATTCGAAGAGTACCTAGTCTTTGGCGAATTGAGATGAACAGGAAGCATTGAAACTTCGACATAGAAACTTGGAACGTCAATTGCGGTCGACGTCACTGACGATACTTCGACAAATTTCGCGCAACAAACCATTGCAGTTTATTAACAATTCGACGGGAGCTTTTTGCAGCCCTTTCCGGATATACGACGTTAAATCGTTGTCTGAAGATGAAGTAGAAGGCAAGAAACATGTTCAGGTTTGAGTCGTTTGACACGTGGCCAGGCTTCTGTTTACATTTATTTGCTTTTGTCCCTAGTTCCTTTCTGGTTGATAATCGAAAACGATCAATCTGACGTTCAGCAAGAAGATACGTAAGGTAAGATAATTCAGATGCATCATGAAGTCCTTTCGAAAATATGCTGGACAGAGAAGCGGTACGAGTTTAAATAGTCGACATTTTTCACAATCCGTCTCACTCGCAAATTTTGTAATTTATCCGAGGAGCCTCGCTCTTGAAAAAAAATTCGTCTCTGCTCCCAGAAGAAGCTCTGAACGTAGAAAAGTCTTATCCAGACGGGCGCTCTATATCACGTCAAGGACACAATGCGGAGATGCCAACACCACGTAGAAGGATCCTACGGTATACGCTTCGCTCCAAGGGCTCCTATCATGGGAAGGGTGTAGGACTCCGCTCATTCGACAGCTAGAAGCGTTGGAAACATCATTCGAGGTAATAGCGGGCTTTTATGGCTACTTGAAGTGTCTTTCTCTGAACAACACCCAAGGAAGATGCGGAGGGACGTCAAATGTGCTACTCGGGTCAAGGGAAAACAGCTGTTTGGAAAATCTTAATCATACAGTTACACATCCCTACGACTACTCAGAGGATCGAGGACCAACGAGAAACGATCTGTACCTCTGACGAGTACGGCTGATTTACTCAACTGCTCTCATATTTGCTTGCACTGACAATGATATTCGCCCGGGGTCACCAGCTTTGGTCCTGATTCTAGGCTCTGACGGGGTACTGTCGCGGGCAGGCTCTTTGAGGGCCGACAAAATGTATGCCATTTATTTCGATCTATCGAGACCAGCATCATCGGCAGCTGGTCGCGCCGTTGTCGCGAATCTATCAGTATTCCCACCGCTAATGATTTGGAGGCCAATGGAGTTCGCGACTTCTTTTCGGGACACATGCTGGCCTTCCGTCTTTTTATTAACGTCATTCGCGAAAGACACGGAGCCGCAATCTCCTATGTCATTGGGTGTGCATTTTACATTTCTCACGGCTTAGATTCTTTGCCACCAGAATAACGCTCATCACAGTGAAATCTTGGCTTATATCAATTATCATGTGCAAGGTCACAAGTATGGCTAGCTTCGAGCCCGAAATACAAGAAACGTGTTGCTCTAAGAGAACCAGATCCACAAGAACTACCTGAAAAGCATTGCGAACATCATTTTAGAACCATGCTAGTGCCAGTTTGTGCGCCGCACTAGAACTTGCCAGGTTTTTCAGAGCAGAGCGGGAACCTCAGTGAAAAATCAAGTCAGATGAAGTGATTCTCGAGTAAGTCGATTTACTTGAGAAGAAATATTTCCAGTACGTTCAATAGGGTCATGCATTGGTCCGAAGTGTCGGGGTACTCGCTTCTCTCCGTTTGCATTGCAAGTACTCACGATGTCTGCCTGTTACGTTGACGGGCGCGATGTGTCATACTCTGCGTCCGCATACGCACGAAATGTTTTCGATACTGCTCTAACTGAAATGATCGCGAACTAGTTCGGTCTATGACGAAAATACCTGTCGTAAGTATTCGGTGGTAAAGTATCTGCGAGAATAGTAAAACAGAAATACTCTGCAGGCCGACAAGTAGCACGGAAATTCTCAATCAACCTGCGGTAAAGATGTGTTTTCGTAGATTTAGAGAATTTGGCAACTGACTGTCCATCATGTTCAAGAGCACTGAGATTCCATAGTCCATGTCTTTTACAAAAGCCCAAAGCCATCCGGTATGTAATCGTCTAAACTCATCAACATCAACTGACAATACACTGTCGCAGAATACTCGGTTTCGTCGATTTTTTTTACAATAATAAGTACTGAGGGAATCATTCCTAGCGTGTTTTGAACACATCCTTTAATTCTTGCTCCCCAGTGGCATTCCGCATTCCATCTCGACTATACTATGCTCTTTATTCGGGACATTCATAGATTGTAAGGATTTTCTTTTCATATTTTCGTCGGCTCCGAGAACTACGTCACGTTTTGATCTCATCATTCAAGAAGTACCATTTTATAAAATACTAGTGTTTGCAGTATGTTTAGTCCTCACAAATTCAAATCGCCTATCTTGCATATTACTTACCTTTTCTATTCATTATAAACCTTTGATTGTTCGAATATTCTCGTGCCATGTTCGCTCACACTGTCAAGTGGCTTCGTTTGTTACGTATATTTCGTCGTTCCATGCACTGTCGTCGACGTTGCTCTCTTCCGAGATCGCGTATGTGTGAGTTCGGATGTTATCTCCGAAAAAGAACGCTTATTTTAGATTGCTTCCGAGATATCCGGAATCCGCTCTTTGTCCTTGTTGAGAGGGAAAACTTAAGGGGGGCACGCATAGACAAGGGGTGAGGTGACGATTGACTGCTCAGTGTCTCTCGTCCTTATATTGTATGTATTCTAACTGAGACATTATGAAGTCATTGTCTTGTGGTTCATCCGTTGATGAACTAATCATCTCATAATACTCCCCTTCAAACTCTTACTAGTCTGAGTAAACTGGTAAGATGTTTGACTTGTGGTACATGTAATGCTTTAGTTAATATATCTGCTTGTTGATTGTTTGTCCATATGTATTTTGCATTTATGTACTCTAACTCAATGTAGCATTTAATAAAATCTTTCTTATGATCTAAATGCTTTGTTTGTTCTGAATATTTGAGTTTGTCTGATGTAACTGTTTGTATAACAGTATTGTTATTGTAATAGATATTAATTGGTGCATCAGAGACCTGCAGAATCTCTTCAGCTAAATGAGTAAGTGTAATCACTTCCTGTGTTCCTCTTACAAGAGCTATTAATTCAGCTTCATACATTGAATTTGCCACCAGTGTTTGTCTTTTACTTGACCATGAAACTAATGAATTGCTCAAGTAAAATGTGTATCCTGATATTGTACAATGCCCTTCTTGCATCATACTGTCTGTGTCTGTATAGCTGTTCAATATTGATTGATTTGTACTACTGAGTTGGAGCCAGACATTGTTTATAGTTTTTAAGTACATGTAACAATGTTTAAGTGCCAGATAATGCTCCATACCAGGGTCATTAAGGTATTTAGCTAACTGATTTGTTGCAAATGCTATATCTGGCTGTGTACAGTCTGCAATGTATCTAAGTGTGCTAACCATGTTCATGTATAGTATATCAGACATTTGTTCTCTATTGTTATCAGTTTGCAATACTGTTTTTAATTGTGTACTAGGCTGTATGAGTGTTTGTACACTTTGTTTGTTTGTAAGTTTGTAACATTCTATTATACTATTAATATAATGTGTCTGATGCATCCTGATGAATCTATACTCTCTGTTGTATTGAATCTCTATACTAAGTAGCTAATGTAATTTGCCACTGTCTGTATATTGTAAATGACATACAATAGATTGTTTTATCATTGTAATAGTATTATTATTCATTGCTACAATAGTAATATTGTTGACATGTACAAATAATATGGCTACAGTTATTTCTTTCTTCTTTACAAAGAATACAGCATTATCATGTTTGGATTTTGTTAATCTGTATTTAAGTAGTATATTAGATAGTGTTTTATACCATCTTCTACCAGCTTGTTTTAATCTGTATAGTGCTTTTTGTAATTGTAATATTTGTCCATTCTGTAATCTGTCTATTAAGTTACCTAGAGGAGGTTTAACATATATTTCTTTGTCTTCTGTCAATTGTCCATACAGATATGCTGATTTTATATCTATCTGATGTATTTCATAATTATTAGATGCTACCCATACTAATATTAATTGTACTGTAGATAGTCTAGCAGTAGGAGCAAATAAATTGTCTGTATGATAGTCAAGGCTGTCAATCTGATAGTTTCCTTGAACTACTAATCATGCTTTATATTTTTCTATACTATTATCAGTGTATTGCTTTATTTTATAGACAAATTGTGTTCTAATGATGTTAATATTATTGTGTGGATTTGTGATTTCCCATGTATTATGATTTTCTAATTGTTTTATTTTGTCTTTCATAGCTGTAATCTATGAATCACAATCTGGACATTGGATTGCTTCATAAAATGAAGTTGGATCCAATTGTATTTCACTTATTTTAGCATTAAATTCTGTTAAATGAATGGTAATATTATCTTCATCCTTTTTGCTAAGTGCATACATGTGTTTTGTTATGTGTTTATTTTCCAT